CTCCTGGAGGAGTCCCGGGTTTGTGCACCTGGATTTGTGTGTCCTTCCCCGGGGCTTGAGCATGGGGCTTACTGGAAAGTGTGCAGGACATTTATAGGGGGATACCTGGTTCAAGTGGTTTTGAAACAATACCAGCTACAGTCAGTGGGCTCCTTAGAATACTGTAGAAACAAGCATCCCCAGTGCTCAGCCGTTTCACACAGTCACTTTCATTTCTAGCTCCATTTATGTCCCAGCCAAAGTGGCAGGGCACTCTGCTCCACAGTCACTTCAACCCACAGTGCCAGAGGCTCCACCCTCTCGTAGCTGAATCACTGCAGTATGTTGCCTCCTCATCACCCTGGAGGATCCCACCTGGGCTTCTTGGCGCTGGGTCCAGAAATGACACTCCCTCCTTTTCACAAGGTCACACAGCCATGTGCACTTCAAGGGCCTGAGACTTGAGAAGTCTTCTGTGTGCTCCAATCAAGGAATGGAGAGGTGTTATGTGGCATGCAGCACTGGTCACTGGTCAGTACTGCAGGGTGACCTATTAGAGGACCGTTTAGCATAGACTCTGACAATACGGAAGAAGATGAAGGGATGGATAAGCAGTACAAGATGTACTTATCAACACAGTACAATATTCCAGAAATTCACGGACAGGCAAAAGAATGCCCCCCTTTGTGTGTTAAAGGGGCAGGAATCCAGGCTAGAATGATTCCCAGGGTATTGTTTTAATGAATATTTCTGGAAACTCACATAATTCATTTGTAGGGGATTAGAGTGTTTGTGTGTGGATGTGCGTGTTTGTGAATGAAGAGTAGCAAAAGTTTGATTTTATGAAAAACATATTGTGTAAGTTATTTGGGGTTGCCTGAGTAATATTGATTGCCTATCCATATGATACGATACTCTATGGACCATTCATCCTTCCTTACCCCAAAAGAAAGAAGTAGAAGAGCTTAAATATAAGAGCAGAAATAAAACTTTTAACCAAATAACGTTTTAAAGAAATCAAGTATGCTGTGTACAATGGAAATTCCGTGAGAATTCATAGAGGGTCAAAGTGTGTAAGCTTGCCTAATGGACAGTTGCATATTTCTAACTAGAGGGCTTTGCCAGTGTTTCAAATGTTACAGTAATTTCAGTAGTTTAAGAAACAAGGTCAAAGTTTTCTCTGCAAGAATTGGTGGACACTGCCAGTTATTGGCCTATCTGTAGCACACCTGTAGCTTGTGGTGAGCTGCTGGGCAGGGTCCCGAAGATCACTGTGACAGGGTTGGCAGAGTCAGCAGGGTGGGAATTTTGTTTCAGCTCTGCCCCTAACCAACTGTGTAACTAACTCTGGCTAACCTATATATTCTTTTTCACTATCTATAAACTCATAAAATTGATGATTTTTAAAAAGTATTCCAGTGCCGAAATCCTATCTAATAAAAGCGTAATGTGCAAATTGATTCCAACACTCAAGATGGATGCCCCCATGTGGTCAAAGATGGCTGCCCCATGTGGACACAAGATGGCCACCACAAGATGGCCAGCAGGGGAGGGAACTTAGGAGGGACCAGGCCTGCAAGGGAGGGCAGTGAAAGTCAATCAAGCCTTCAGGGGAAGGCAGTTAGGGGTGATCAGGCCATCAGAGGAGGGAAGTTGGGAGCAACCGGACCTGCAGGGAAGGGCCATTGAGGGGACCAGGCCTGCAGGGGAGGGCAGTTAGGGGCAATCAGACTGGCAGGGGAGCAGTTAGGCATCAATCAGGCTGTCAGGGGAGTGGTTAGGGGGTGATCAGGCTGGCAGACAGAAGCGGTTAGGGGCCATCAGGAAAACAGGCAGGCTTGCAGTTGGGAGCCAGCAGACCTGGATTGTGAGAGGGCAGTCAGACATCCCTCGAGGGGTCCCAGATTGGAAAGGGTGCAGGCTGGGCTGAGGGACACCCTCTCTTCCACTCCCCCTGCACAAATTTTGTGCACCAGGCCTCTAGTTGTATAATATAAGCCAAATGTTCTTCAGAGGGTGGTATATAAAATTAAGTGATTTTTTTTTTTTTTAAAGAGGACAACCAGATTTGAATGTCAGAGGCTCTTGGCATATTTCTTGCTGATTTTCAAGAAGGTTCAATAAAGAGGCCTTCAGCTGCCAAGAATACTCAGTGGGGAAGGGACAGTCTCTTCAATTTCCTCAATAGTGCTGGGAAAACTGGATATTCACATGCACAAGAATGAAACTGAACCCCTATATGATACCACTCACAAAAATTAACTTGAAATGGACTAAGGACTTAACATAAGTACTAAAACAGAAAAACTAGAAGAAAGCATAGGAAGAAAGCTTCTTGTCATCAGTCTTAGCAATGATTTTTTTTTTTTTTATCAAACACCAAAAGCATAAGCAATGAAAGGAAAAATCAGTGTGACTACATCAAGCTCAAAACCTTCTGCCCAGCAAAAGGAACAATAAAAAAGAAAAAGAAAAAGAAAAAGAAACCTATAAAATGAGAGAAAATATTTGCAAACCATCTATCTGATAAGTTTAATATCCATAATACATAAGGCACTCATACAACTCAGTAGCAAAAGCAAAACAAAATAAAAAAACACCACCAACAAACAATCCAATTAAAAAATGGGCAGAGTACTTGACATTTTTCCAAAGAAGACATACAAATGGCTAACACATACATGAAAAGGTGCTCAACATCACTAGTCATTAGGGAAATACATATCAAAGCCTTAGTGAGATTTCATCTCACACCTGTTAGAATGGCTATTACCCAAAAGATAAGATATTACAAATGAGAATGTGGAGAAAAGGGAACCCTTGTGCACTGCTGATGAATGTAAATTGGTGCAGCCATTATGGAAAACAGAATGGAGGTTCCTCAAAAAATTAAAAATAGAGTCTGGCCAGTGTGAGTCAGTGCTTGAGCATTGACCTCTGAACCAGGAGATCACAGTTCAATTCCCAGTCAGGGCACATACTCAGATTGCAGGCTTTGTCTCCAATAGGGGGCGTGCAGGAGGCAGCCAATCAATGATGTTTCTCTCTCTCATTATTGACTAGAGGCCTAGTGCATGAAATTCATGCATAGGGGGTGTGTGGGGGGTTGTCCCTCAGCCCAGCCTGCACCCTCTCTAATCTGGGATCCCTTGAGGGATGTCCGACTGCCCATTTAGTCCCTATCCCACTGGGATCAAGCCTAAATGGGCAGTCAGACATCCCTATCACAGTCCAGGACTGCTGCCTCCCAAATGCTCACCTGCCTGCTTTTCTGATTGCCCCTAACTGCTTCTGCCTGCCAGCCTGATCACCCCCTAACCACTCCCCTGACAGCCTGATTGATGCCTAACTGCTCCCCTGTTGGCCTGGTCTCCCCAACTGCCCTCCCTACTGGTCTGGTTTCCCCAACTGCCCTTCCCTGCAGGCCTGGTTGCTCCCAACTGCCCTCCCCTGCTGGCCTGGTTCTTCCCAACTGCCCTCCCTTGTAGGCCTCATCCTCTCCAGCTGCCCTCCCCTGCAGGCCTGGTTGTCCCCAACTGTCCTCTCCTGCTGGCCTGGTTGTCCCCAACTGCCCTCCCTTGCAGGCCTGGTCCTCCCCAGCTGCCCTCCCCTGCAGGCCTGATCATCCACAACTACCCTCCTCTGCTGGCCATCTTGTGTTGGCCATCTTGTGTCCACATAGGGGGAGCCATTTTTGACCACATGAGGGCGGCCATCTTGTGTGTTGGAGTGATGGTCAATTTACATATTACTCTTTTATTAGATAGCATGTCTCTCTCTCTCTCTCTCTCTCTCTCTCTCTCTCTCTCTCCCCCTCCCCTCTCTGAAACCAATATAAATATATATTTTAAAAAAATTATAAGTAGAACTATCACATGACCCAGTAACTCCACTTCTGGGTACATATCCAAAGGATAGAAAATCACTATCTTGAAAAGATACCGACTCTCCCATATTCACTGCAGCATTATTCAAAATAGCCAGGACATGCAAACACCCTAAGTGCCCACTGAGAGATGAATGAATAAAGGAAATGTGGCATACACATACAATGGGATATTACTCAGCCATAGAAAAGAAGGAAACGCTGCCATTTGCAACAATATGGTTGGACCTCGAGGGCGTTATAATAAGTGAAATACGTCAGACAGGGAAAGACAAATATCCCATGACCTCACTTATCTGTTGAATCTAAAAACATTGAGCTCCTACAAACAGGGCAGAATGGTGGTTGCCAGGGGCCAAGGGATGGGGAGATGGGGAGATGTTAATGAGAGGGTGCAATCTTCCAGTTACCAGGTGAGTTAGCTTCAGGAATGTGTTGTGCTGCTCGGTGATTGTAGGAACAATACCGCGCTGTGTACTTGAAAGTTGCTGTGAGAGCAGAGCTTTACTGTCCTCACCATAGCAACAACTTACAACAAAATGGTAATTATGTGAGGTGTTAAGCAACCTTACTGCGGTAAACGTTTCACAACACATTGCACACCTTAAGCTTACACGATGTTATATGTCAATTATATCTCAGGGGGCGGGGAGAGAAGGGTTCTCCAACTGCCAATCAGCCTGGCCGCGTTGTCCCCTGGACAGGTCTTCTCCTGGCCCCACTGGGGGCCTTGTAGGCACAGAAAGGCTTTTCTCAGTTGGGACTGAAGATGCCACGTACTAAAGGTTTGTTCTGAGGGAACCGCGATGCTGCAGGGGTGCAGGAAGCATGACTGATGGTGCTCAGCCGGGTTCCGGTTAGATCCAGCCCACGGTTTCCCTTGCAGGGAGCTGGTCTTCACTGCTTGTGCCCAGGGCGATGGATGTACTGGCTCAGAAGCTTTTGGTGCCAGCTCCCTGTTGACATTTGGCAACAGCTTGGTAATCTGAAACGTTCATGCTTTTAAGGAGGGGAGAGGAAACACCTAACTTACCTTTCCCAGCGAAAACGAAAAACGACTTGCTCCTGGAACAGGTGAGATTAGAACATGACGTGCTTTTCCTCAAGCGCTTTGCAGCATGTTCTGTTGTTCCAGATTCTTTTCTTTGGCTTGATCCGCCTGCAGTCTTTCTCGTTTCAGATGATGGCAACTTCAGCTTTGCAGTGACTCAGGCAAAACACCCTGGAGTCATTCCACAGTAAACTGGCCAGGAAATCCTCTTGGCTCCACCTTCAACTCCATATCCAGAATCCAGCCTCTCCTCGCCACAGCCGCTGCATCACCCATCTCCAATCCCTGGGCTGGACTCTCAGCAGCTCCCAGGGGCTCTCCCTGCTTCTGCCTCTCCTTGACCCAGCAGCCAGAGTGATCCTGTTACAACATAAGTCAGACTACATCACGCCTCTGCTCTAAACCCTCTTTGCTTTGCCAACTCACTCATGGTAAAAGCAAAAATTCTGACTGTGCTCTGTAAGGCCCAGCAGCCTCTGGCCTTGTGCGTCTCTGACCAACTCTCCTAACTTCTCTCGTTTACTCTTCTCGGGCCATACAGGAATCCTTCCTTAAGCAAGCCAGCCTCCCTCCTGGTCCAGGGCCCAGCACTGGCTGTTACTCTGTCTGCAACGCTCTTCCATGAAGATACCTGTCTAGCTTGCTCTGTCACCTCCTTTGGGTCTTGACCTAATGCCACCTTCTCAGAGAAGCCGACAGAGCTCCACTATCTAAAAGTACAAGCTACCACCCAGCTGTGAGGAGCATTCACCATGGCCTGCAGGCTGGGCACAGCCTTGGTGCCAGCCACGCCCTGCCCATGCTCCCGTTCCCCTACCCTCCTTCCTCCCCCCCATCCCCCGGGGCTGGAGGGCAGGTGCTGTCCGGAGGCTGTGCACCTGCCCCAATCTGTTCTTTGTGCATAAATACATAGAGAAACATGGATGGATAACAATAGGAAGTGGTACTGGAGCAGTGGGAATCAGCAATTTGCATAGGAAGCTATGGGAGATGTTGTTTATTGTAGTCTACCTGAAACTGAGGTAAAATTCAATAAACAAAATGCCGTGGGTGCTTTGGAAAGTATGAAAGCTGCTAGTGAACTCTACTCTCCTCCATCTGGAGAAGTATCTGGAATTAATGGAGCTCTTGCAGAAAATCCAGGACTTGTCAACAAATCTTGTATGAGGATGGTTGGTTGATCAAGATGACACTGAGTAACCCTTCAGAACCAGATGAATCAATGAGTGAAGAAGCGTAAGAAATACATAAAACCTATTGAGGAGGGAAAATGGAACCCTCTAAATAAAGTAGCATGAAACAACTGGACCTAGCATATAGTTGTCTTAAATATTAGTGGTGAATAGAAGATTAAAAATAGCAACTTTTAGTGATATCAATTGAAAAAGGTACAACAATGCTATTGGAAGAAAATACCCCTTAACTTTCTAATGATTACAGATTAACACAAAATGCTTTTTTTTCTTCACAACACAGGATCACTTTTAGGTGAGGCTACAGTTATAATAATATCAGAATTCCTGAAATCACTTGTGGTAAAATCTAGTTATAAAAGTAATATAATTCAAGGATAACATCTTAAGCCTTATATAATATTATAACTTACTAATATACATATCTGATTTGGGTCAAAATAATGATCTTTCCATTGGAAATAACTGGCAGTGGAGAAGTTTTTATTAGTTGTTTAGTGTCAAATGCCAAACAATACTACCTTAATTTTGCCATAGATTGAGTTTGCTAGTGCTATTTTTATACAGTGAAGTAGCAGTCTTGTAGGAAAACAAGATAGTTTAACAATAAAATACTCAACTTCTTCCTTAAGAACATAAATAAAAAAAGTGCAAATTACTACTGATAATGTCTATCCCCCTTCCTGCTACACACTCTTCCGTCGTACTACACCATCTAGCAAACTGCATATTTTGATTGATTGGCTTTATTTTCTTTCCCCTGTAGAACGTAAGCATCATGGAGGCAAGCATTTTTTCACGTTTCCTTTGCCGTGGTTTCCCTAGCAGCTAGGAGAGCGCCTGACACACAGTAGGTGTTCAGCAATGACTGGATGACGGGAGAAACCCTGCTCCGAGGCTACAGAACACCCGGTGGGAATGTTCTGCACGAGGAGGCTGCGCCCCTGCGGCTCCTTTCGGAGAGCACCAGGGAGTCATCCATTCCATCTTTCATCTGCACTGAGCTCTCCAGGCTGCGTTAGAATGCCTCACTCAGGCACTTCTCCGGAGGTTTATGTCTGGAGAATCAGGGCAATGAAACCGTAGACCCTGAGTGACTTTGAGGCCTGAACAGCTGCTTTGGGGTTGGCAATGCTGCCTTCTGGAACAGGCCTTCTCTCCCGATGCACACAGCAGCCACCTGAGGCCTGGTGAAAGTGCAGACTCTGACTCAGGAAATCCCAAGGGGGCCAGAGTCAGCCTTTCTCACAAGCTGCTGCTGAATTGTGGTCACACCATAAATGCCAAGGTTCTAGTACAAACTTCTCTACAGGCAAACATTAGAATGCCCCCCCCCCCCCCCCCAATATTGTATTGGATTCCCAATTTCAGAAGACCAGAGCTCTGCAGCTGGGTCTTGTTAAAGACCCAGGGCTTCCTGACTTTATAAGCAGCATCTGCCCCAGGAAGGCCCTATCTTCATTAGGGCTGCACCCGTCACCAGCCCTTCTCCCTGCCTTTCAGGGTCCCAGGCCTCTTCCAGGAACTCTTTGGCCTCATGCTTTCCCACCACTACCCACTTCCAACTCTTTCACGTAAACCAAGCTTGGCTTTTCGGAGACTACATAGGCCGTCTACTCTCAACAACCTCAACGTCCTTCTTCCCCCAGCAACTCCAAATTACTTAACCTTCTCCACGTGCCCCCTGGTCTCAGAGGAAGAGGTCAGGATTTTCACCCCTCCCCTGGCCTCCCCAGCGTCCTGTCCCAGCACCGGGAGGCTCTGACATCAGATAGCTGGGCTCTTACTTGGTGGATGACTTGACTCAAGTTCCTCACCATCAGTAAGCCTCACCTCACTCACTTCTAATGTGGGGGTGATGGCAGTGTCTACTTGGAGGGTTGTGAGGATGAAAGGATGAATAGGGGGGAACCGTTCAGACAAGGCTTGGTAAGTCAGTTAAAAGTTCTTTTTTTTGTCTTTAATTTTGTTTTATTGTTTAAAGTATGACAAATAGTAGTATATATGTCTCCTTTGTTTCCTCATTGACCTTCCCCTGGCCTCTCTGCCACCCCCTATCCCCTGCCCCAGTGTCTTGCGTCCATTGGTTATGCTTATAAGCATGCATACAAGTCCTTCGGTTGGTCTCTTAACTCCTCCCTCCAGCCCTCTCCAGCATTCCTTCCCATCCCCACCAGACTCCTTTCTCAGAGCCCAGGGGCTCCTTTGGCACGCGCTTCTCCCCTGCCCAGATTTTCTTTCCTTGAGCTTGGCCATCTGCACAGATGGTCTCCTGACCTCACCTTTTCAGGCTCCTCTCAAATAGCACCTCCTCTGTTAGGCACCTGCCAGGGGAGTTAGTCACTTCCTCCCTGTGCTCCTTGTCTGCTAACCTCCCTTGCGACAGAGCCCTTGTGACATTGCGTTTCAATGATCTTTCCCCACACCTGCTCCCATCTGCACACCCAGTCTGTGTGCTCCTTGGGGATAAGGACTGCAATATACTCATCCCATGCCCCTGCCGCCTGGCCCAGAGGGTGGGAAGCGAGCCTGTAAAAGTTTAATAAATGAGAGGCTGACAACTGGCTTTACTCTACATGATAAAACAAATGGCACTTTTTATGTCCAAATTATGCAAATGAATTTTCTGTTAGAATTATATCATTTTGGAGCTGGAAAACACCTTTAAGTTTATCTACCCAATCCTATGATTCTTGTAGCCAAGGAGAGGATGGTCCAGAGTGGAAGTCGCCTGCACGTGGGCTGGTCAGCCTCCAGCTCAGAGTCCTGTGTGCCACTGATGGTGGTGCCCAACACTGCATGGAAAGGAAACCTTTCTATTGGCTCCTAGAATTGCCCAGACATGTCTGTGTGATGAAGGAAATAGCCACTTCCACTAATAACACTGTGGTACTTTCATTTAGTGACGTGTGCACAGCTGACTTTGGTGAATTAGAATCATTCTAGAGCATTTATTTTTATGTGGAAAGATCATTAATGGCACTCTAAAATTATTAATATAGCTGATTATATTATATTACATGAGAAGAAGAATCTTTAATGTTTTGTTTTACTTATAGGAACACCTACTTGAATATCAGAGAATGTTTGAAGGGGAAGGGGAGTTCACCTAATGCTGCTATAAAACTATTCCTTTTTTGTGAAAACCTGAAAATGAGCTATATCAATTTGTTTTTTTCAGATTCATGGAGGCATAACTGGCAAATAAAAGCTGTACATATTTAAGGTGTATAACATGATGTTTTGATACATGTATACAATGGGAAATGATTGCCACAATCAAGCTAATTAACACATCAGTCACCTCACATAGCTACCTTTATTTGTGGTGGGAATATTTAAGGTCTACTCTCATAGCCAATTTCAAATACCCAATAGAGTAGGGGTGTCGAACTCAATCAGAGAAGGGGCCAAAATCTAAAATCCAGCCTAAATCGCGGGCCGAATGGTTTACTGAACAGTCATAAACTGTCATTGTGATGGAAACGCAGCGGAGTGCAGTGATGACAGTGCGGTGCGGGCCACATTGCAAGGTCTGGCTGGACGGATTTGGCCCACGGGCCTTGTGTTTGACACATGTGCAATAGAGCATTATTAACTAGTTACTCTGCTATACATTAGGTTTCCAGAACTTATTCATAATTAAAAATGCATAATTGAAACTGTACCCATTTACCAGTATCTCTGCAGACTGCTGCTCTCTAGAATCATTTCTTTCCATGTTGAATCATTATTAATAATTCACATAATTATAACTGTTTTTTTGCGGGGGCGGGGGACAATATAAAGTAATTTATGTTGGTCTTTGGCATCTTAAAATGTCAAACCAGGGCAACAACTTACCTGATAGAGACTGTAGAATCATGATTGCCATGTAAATGGGTGAGAAATTATTATTTTGTTTGCTTATTTCCTCTTCCTTTGGAGACTTTGTTTTGGAACATGGTTGGTTTAATATATGATTCAAAAGGAAGTTGCACTTTTAAA